CCATTTAGACACTCACCACACTAAATCTCGGATATAATGAAATCGGAGATATTGGAGCACAATCTTTGGGTCATGCATTACTACACAACACAGTAACTCTTATTCTCTGCTTACATACATATATGCTGTGTCCGTACCTCTACTTTTTTATTTAGACACTCACGACACTAAATCTCCCACATAATCAAATCGGAGATGTTGGAGCACAATATTTGGGTTATGTATTACTAAACAACACAGTAACTCTTATTCTCTCTTTACGTATACTATGCCTTTACCTTTACTTTTTCGTCTAGATAATCAGCACACTAGATCTATCCGAGAATAAAATCGGAGACGTTGGAGCACAATCCTTGAGTGATGCATTACAGTACAACGCAGTAACTTTTATTCTCTTCGTATCTATACTATGCCGTTACCTCCAGCTTTTCATCTAGACACTCATCACACTATATCTCCGAAATAATCAAATCGGAGATGTTGGAGCACAATCTTTAGGTCATGCATTACAACACAACACAGTAACACTTGTTGTCTCCTTATCTCTAATATGTCTTCACCTCCAGTTTTTTTATCTAGACACTGACCACACTAAATGTCTGGAATAATCGATTTGGCGATGTTGGAATACAATCTTTCCGCGACGCATCACAACTCCACAGAGACCGCGGAGTCCATAGGGTCGTTATATTTTGAGTGTTTCGTTGATTTGAAAATTTTTCGCCGTTCATGATCTACTGACTGGTTTCAAGTAGTACTCGACGAACTCTATCAAGAGCTGATGTTGACTTACTTGGAAGCGACATAGATGTGAATTGACACGACTTTTTTTATTGTTTTCTTCCGATATTTCGTGTTTTGTGAGTGTAAGACATATACTAAATAAATAAGTGACAAGTAAAATCAATGGAGCTTGTCAAGTTCTACTTCAAGCCAATTATTGAACAAATCTAGCACAAAGATATTCTACATTTTCTACGTATCAGTTCACATTGATAGTCATTTAATGTTACTAATTATTAATAGTATATATTGAGAATATATTAACTGGTCTGTAAAATATATAGAGATAGTCAGCATATATATTGAATGATCAGTATCGAAAATAGCAGTAGATATTCATGAAATGGTCAGTTTATTTGCTGTAAGTAGCAGTAAAAAAATATGGTTTTTATCAGTAGAGAAAATATTTTGTCAGTAGAAATTTACGAATCAGTAATAATAAAGAGAACGAACACTAAATTTTTACAGCAACAAACCTAGTTTAGCTTTCAGTGATCGACCACGTTTGCTCTTTCCACTAATTGGAACTGTCTTTGCAGCTGGTGGTGGTTTGTAATATTTTAATCATATACTCACATCGACGACGTGCTTACATATGTAGTTGAGAGTGTGGATGTGGATATAGGAGTAATATAATATCCACACCCTTTGTATATCCTTTGTTTATTTTGTTGAATTATAAAGTTTCAGTGGCCAAGTTTCTTTGCTCTAGTACTGAATGAATATATTTTGGATGATCCCCTCTAGACAAGAAAGGTAAATTAGCACTGTTACAGTCTGCTGTCTAGTTGAATCGTGGATTGCATTTTCCTGTCAATAGAACGCGAAGGAGATGTATTTATCGTGGTAGAAAAGAGGTGCAAGTTCGATTAAGATGAATAATCATCTTTCTATTATATAAATGATTTATGATCAAATAAATCTTGTATTTTGATTTAAAAAAATTGCTCAATTTTTTATTTATTTCAGACTTTCCATTAGCAATTTTAACAGAATAAAAGAAAAGTTCATATTAAAGTTAAATTTTTTTAAATAAAAATGCAAATATTTTGAACTTTAAGACTTGAAATTTATATGAATTAGATTCACTCTTGTATTTCATATGAAAATAATCAATTGTAAGCAAATCATTAATCATACAGAAGTATTTTTTTATCTTTGTGTTGGATATACATATATGCAAAAGCCTGGAAAGGAGAAGAAAGGGAAGATAAGGTAATACAACAAAGAAGATATCTTTGGTCTTTATAGAAAGAAAAGAGAACATATACACATCGATGTATGGCAGTAGAGCCGACGAAGATGTAGATGGAATACAAATATATGATGAGCTCACCCATTTTGTGTAAATTTGTGTATACAAGAGAATAAATTAAGAAGATACAGCATGATAAGTTCATGTAGAGAAGACTAGGAAGAAAGTAAAGTCAACATATAATATGTCTTTATTTAAAAAAAAGGCTATGATATATATGGGGTATCACTACGCATCCCGAAAGGGTTCAAATAGAATTTATAGTCAATCTTATATTCATTTAAATTCAAATATTTGTGTTAAATCAAGATTTTTATTTATTTTAAAATATGGTATAATAATTTGTTGAAAAGAATAATTTAAATTGAAAAATCTTGACGGTGTGGGTATCGGCGAGATAAATTAGATACACCCACTCACGTTTGACTATCATACATATTTAAGTCAATCTAGTTTTTTTTCAATAATTTGAGAACAGCAGCAAGAAAATCTATTCTTTTGTATGATTCTAATATTCTATAGACTTTTATGAAACGACTCGTCAGATTAAATCAAACTTTTTTTTATAAGATAATACGTTTTTGAACGATTATGTCACATAAATAAATAATATATCTGTAATATAAAATACATGTAAGTAAGAATAATGATGTATGTATTGCTGTTTATTGGAATTTAAAATTTTAATTCGCTCTATGACATATATATATATATGTCTTTTACAATCAATTAATAATATGATACAAGAATATTATAGAGGAAAAGAAAAAAACTGGCGACACTTAAAACTCACGTGGTTGAAATAAATCTTATTCTATAATATTTATTTATGTGAAGAAAAAAAAATTTGTTTTATGTTATCTAGAATATATTTATTGAGTATACATCAAAATTATAACTGAACGTTTATATAAAAAATCAACAGTCCAATGAATTCAATGATTTTCTGTTGTTTTTTTTTGCGATAAATAGATGTTTTACTACATAGAGATTTTTTCAACATCGATTACTTATGACTATCGAGTGAATAGACCGAATTATCTATACCATTTGCAGTAAACGATATGGTAAGTAATAATGAAATTATGGTTATCAATAGTTTTTAACAAAAACAAATTCAGTTCATTTTTTTTGGTGATATTATTTCTGACAATACGGTGGTTTGATATCACGATTTATTCGAAATTCTTTTGCTTTTTGTTTGATTCAAACTCCTTACCTTGTAGTTAAATTTTAATAGTTCCACTGTATTAAAAAATATATAAAATTATATACTACAAGAAATGAATTTTTGCGATATGTGTGTATTACATTTTCATCGATCAAAAAAATTAAACCTGTGTATATTTTTTATCTCTGAGCTAATTCTATTATGTGAAGATTTGTTGAAATGAATCTTAACTAATATTTATCTAAATTTGATATGAATTTGAAATAGTTTCGATTTAGTAAATTAAGTATTTTTCGTTCTGGCTTATTATAAATTATTAGTTAAGTCGAACAACTAATCCGAGAAATGTTATTTGCTCGAATTTAATAATGCTATTTCTTATTTTTTTGTAAATAGAAAAGAATTAAATGTATTTTCAGACTGAAAGAATGTTCCTTAATCGAACAGTAATTTTATACATTCAAATTGTGGTAGCACATTATCATGAGATGGTTAGTGTAAGAAAATATTAATAGTTCAATAATTGAAATCTCTTAACAAAAGATCTATAAAAGGAGTATATTTAATTGAAGAACTTTTTCCCTCATAAACATTCTACAAAGATATTCACCATTGAATTCAAATATAATTTAAATTATATAACAATCATATCAATTTATAAAGTCATCTTTCAGAAATGACTATCGATATATAATGGAACATCTCAATTAGCAGATCATATAATTAAGAATTCGAAAAGATGCTTCATTTGATAGAGTATAACAATTTCAAAAAAACTTCTTTTTCTACTTCAATGTCATAATATCATCCAGACAAAACAGGAAGCTTCTGCAACCAATAAAAAATATTATAAATTTTATGAAATAAACTTTCATAAGGGTATGGATGGATATGGGCGAGGGTGACAGTATTATGATCATCTATTATTCATATTCTCATCCACCCTCAATCAGAATTTATGTCATTATCTTATATGGTAATAAATAGAAAGTTATCATCGAATACATTATTTTTTCGACTGAAAGCATAATTAATCTTTCAATAAATGAGTTCAATATTTCTCAATTATAATATTTTTGATAATAATCAAAGGAAACCAGATTTTTTGATTCTTTTTTTCTTCTACTTGAATGCACTTTTAAATTTGTTCTATTTTCATCTAAAAATTTCTTGTCCTATAATAAAATAAAATGTACTTTTTCAGCGTGATACTCCACCCTTAATGTACTTTTTTCTTTCTTTGCCATGAATGTCTGAAGACATTATAAATTTCTGCAATAACAAAGAAGACAGATGAAAAGAGAACGACAAAAAACACTCGTACACGTAGATTCATAGTATTGTTCATATTGTTTAAAATTACAAACAAGGTAAATATATCTCTAATCATTCACTATTTTAATTTAACTCAAATTAGACTATCAGACTTAATAGGAATTAATCTACAATAGTTATCAATTATTTTCACAAAAAGGTAAAAAGAAACCTAATAGATACAAAACATAACTGATTCGGTCGTCTCGATTTCAAAATAAATAAAATTCTAAAACATTTATTTTTGAGCAAAAAAATTGATTCACTTTAATTCATAACATCTGACAATTACCCACGCAGATTTTTGTTTATTTTGAAAAGATGAAGTATCGAATAAGCTATTCTTTGTAAATAGTAAAACTTTTCAAAAAAAAAGAAGAGAACAACGAATTTGTCATGCACGAAGAAATGGAACCACCCTGTTTTGTTTATTTATAGTTCTTTTCACACTATTTTTTATATTTTAGAATCTTATAAATGTGTCTAAAAATTATTATTAATTCAACATTTTATTGGATTTATTATAAAAAATATTCTTTCTCATTGATTATTTTTCTAAGCTGCTTAACAATATTTCAATATCGAACGGATGTTTTTCTTACAAATAAAAAAGTCGATTACGAATTATCTCAAGCAATCAAAATCAATTTAAATTTATCAACTAGTACAATAGATAATTCAACTTATTTTAAAAAATGTCCAAAAGATATATCTTTGTTTAATCATATTCCAGTTCGTTCAAATGAATTAATAAATATGATATCACTTGTACTACAATCTCAATCATTAATGTATTGTCCTGTACCGAAAGTAGCAACAAAAACTCTTCTTAATGTTATACTTTATATTCATGTACGTGATTTAATTAATAATCTGAATAATAATTGGACAAATATTGATAACGCTAAAGCAAAAATAGAAAAAATGATAAATATTAATAAATTTATTGGAGAACTTCGATCTGTAAGAAATATCAATGATTTATTTTATTCTATTTATTCATTCTTTTATTTTAGCATGGAGTTATAATTCCTAAACAAGAAAAACCAAAATCTTTATCGGAATTTCTTTATATGTATTTAAATATTCTTCAATTTGGTCAAATTAATAAAAATTTTCCATCACGATTAATTAATCCTTGGAGACTTAGTTTTACATTTTCATTTCCATATTTTCGTCTTCAGAATCTTTCGAGTTTATCTCAAATTTTTACTTCATCATTTACTCGTACAATATTTGTTCGTCATCCATTTGAACGTTTAGCATCAGCTTATAAAGAACGAATAGCAACACTTAGTAAAGATCGCATTGAACCTGAACCTGAATATGATGCAATACGTATGCAAATTTGTTATAGACGTGTTCTTTCAAAAAAAAATCATCCAACAAGTCCTTCAAAAGAGTCGTGTAGGAATATAATTCCATCATTTGAAGATTTTGTTCGTTATATACTTACTGAAACTGATCGACCAAATGGAATTGCTCGAATGAATTATCATTGGCAACCATATTCAACAATTTGTCAAGTTTGTAAATTTCAATATAATTTTGTTGGAAAATATGAATCGTTCAATGAAGATTTTCCACAATTTCTTAAGCATTTTAATATAACAAATTGGAATATTGAAAAAAGAAATGGACCATCTGGTCTTCAGAAATGGGATTATCAAAAATATTATACAACTTTATCAGATGATTTAATTTGTCAACTTATTCGTTTATATAATGATGATTTTCGATTATTTAAATATAAAGTTCATGATTATATTGTTAATCGAACAAGTTTATTTCAAAATTGTTATTTTTTAAAAACATCTTGAAATAAAAATGTAAATAATAAATAGGTCAATGATAAATCTCTGTTCTACTCTTACTTTAGTCTTCAGGTTATGGGTGTGTAATAACGAAGAAAAAAATTCACACACCACACACCCACACCCACAAACAAATGAGTTTCACCTAAAACTCTCCCTTCCAAGATTCTAGATCATTCACTGCACTTAACAGAAATAGTACAAAGATGAAAAACATAGAACTGAAGAGAAAACAACGAATAAATATCATTTCAGCAACTATACGAATCGTTTCTTTGTTAAATTATAAACGCTTAAAAACTTGAAAGACTTTTTAATGATAAAGATTTCACAATATCAAACCTCTTCAGAAGGGACGTATTAATATATGGAATTTTTCTGAAGAGATGAAGACTCATAATACTTTTAAATGCTTAAATAACTGATATCAGATAAGTAGAAATAATAAAAATACCTGTTTTATTTTATTGACTTGCTTCTTGAATTTAAATTTGTATTCGCTTTATAGATAAGAAACACTTTCTTGAATATGCCGCAAAATTCTTTTACGAATCATTTAAAAAGAAGTCAACAAATCATAAAATTGGTGATGAATATCGCCTGATACAAAGCACGGAAAATGGGTCTGGGTAGGTGTGGGTGTTGGTGTAGGTATTGATACGGTATTCACCTAGAGCGCATAGCCACCCACACCCATTCACGCTCACACCTACACTTCTACTCACTCACACTCACACTTACTCACGCCCACATCCAACTTAACCGAACAGAGAACAACAATCTGATATCAACAGACATATTAAACGTATTGTCCACATCAAAAGTTTTTTTCCAACCATCCACTTCCGAGCTGTAGAGATTTACGATATTTTGCATAATACATTTATTTGCTTGCTTAAGTGTCATTCTCTTTTATACCGTCAGAAGAAACACGAGATAGCAAGAGAACAGCCATAATGGTAGATATCTTTAAGTTACATGCTTAACAAGTGGTATGCGTTGTGTTAAGTGTACGACCAGCAAGAGTTTCTTTGAGAAGTTAGATTGATTAGGAACTCAAAACACTTTACAGTATCACGGCAAACCATTTTTGTTTTCATAAAGTATATTGAGCGCACACGGCCTGCAGGTTTCTGTCGTTAATCAATCTGATCGTGGAATTAATAAACGGAGTAAGCCTCTTGAATATTATTTGCTCGAGATATGCTAAAAGAAAGTTTTAAAGAGTAAAGATTGCTTTTGATAAATCGCATTATATGAAGTATATTGTTATTAAGATTTTGCTTTTGCTGTTAAGATGAGTAACGATACAGACATTGACGAAGATGTTATTCTTATATGGCTGCAATCTGGCCATAGAGAAGCAATGAATATACTGGAACCATCTTCTATTGGAATACGTGTCTATGAATTCGACGACGCTGATGAATTTATGCAACATTTAATATCGTTGTCTGCAGCACACATAGTTATCTTTGTATGGCTTGGGCGCGGTTGGAATCACCTCATTGATGTTTTACATGACTGCGAACAAGTTAACTACATATATCTTAGCGAGCCATCTGAACAAAAATGTGTACACAAGGTCCGTGGAATATACACCGACGTGGCGGGATTACTCCAACAAGTTTTAACTGATGCACGTGCCTGTCAACTAAATCAGTCAACTCATCTGGATGTATTCGACAGTTTGGAGACGCCCATCATGGAAAATCAAAAGGGAAGTGTTGCTCGTTCCATGTGGTCGCAAACACTTTTGCAAGGCCTACTTCGTATGCCGCGTCCGACTGCTGATGCGCACCGAGAAATGCTTGACGAAGCACGTCGCTTTTACCGAAACAATCCAGCTCAGATTGCCCAGATTGATAATTTCCAACAAAATTATCGAGCTGGTGACGCTATCCGCTGGTATTCATGCAACTCGTTTACCTATCGATTGATGAACAAAGCCTTAAGAATCCAGAATTTTGGGATTATCTACAAGTTTCGATTTTTCATTAGCGATGTCTACGAACAGTTGAAAAAGTTACATCACGAGCAAAACTTGAGCACACAAGCAAAAATGGGTAAGTGCTCGGCCAATATAAACACTTTGATTGAATCTGATGCGTCTTCCTAAACAGTAATTTCGTTCCAAAAAAATAGCTCATAAAAATAGAAACTAAGCCAAGCTTCCGCGCGTTTACATAATATCAGTATATAGATGCATATACGTTCTTTCATCACTCAACAAGCATATTCATTTTGCATCTTGATAAGATCAACATATTATTACAGAAACTCTGGACTCTATGAAAAATACTTTCGATTCTATAGGATGAGCCTTAAAAAATTGTGAAATATTACAATGCCATCACTTGTCCAGAAACATAGAGCATGAAAGCAACTGATATTTACAATGATGAGTAGCATAGTTTGAGTCAGAATATAGGATGTACACCTATCCATATGTTTTTAAAATGTGTATTGTAGAGTTACCATCAATGATCCGATTATATCGTGCTATGCAAGTTTCACCGAATGAAGTGAACCGTTTGCGCTCCTGTCATAATGGCACAACTCTGTCAATGAACTCTTTTGTGTCAACATCTCGTAGCCTAGCAGTCGCATCGATGTATCTCGGCAATGATCTCGAAAAGGATGTTATGCTCGAAATCCTTATCGATAGAACTTTGCTCGATTCAAGTTCTTCACCCTTTGCAGACATCCGCCTATTTAGCAAATTTCCTGACGAAGAGGAAGTGTTATTATCAATGGGAATTACCTTGCAAGTTCAGTCAATATCGTGCATCCCAGAGAAGAAGAATATTTATATCAAAACTCGGCTATGCTACGAGGAGGATGCTGATGTGAAGGAACTAAAGGCATTCATCTTAAAGCAGTTTCCTCATGGTCTAAATGAATCGTATTATATTGATAGACTTGCCGATTTCTGCAGTCAGACTGGTGATGAGGAGAAAGCAAGACAAATAATAAAACTTCTTAAACCAGATGCCCAGGAGAGTTCGAGAGAGATTTATCATGCTATGTTTCGTCTCACAGATGCAAAACAACATTCAAACAAGTTAGCTGATCTTATTCCTTATTTTATGAATGTCATGACAGAAACTTCACAGTCACTGCAAGATCTCAAACGTGTTCCACATGCATCCAATGACCTACGGTGTGTGCTCTCTTCGCTGCAAGAGCATATCACAACTTTTACATCGACAATAAGTTCAGAAAACGATATGAAAGAACTTGAAAGAGTACCTGAAATAGCTACATCATTAATGTCTTGGTTCGAGGAAATCTCACCTTCACTACCAATACCTCGCTCACATCCAGTGTTTACAAGACTTCAGCTGATAAAAGGCGCACTTGAAAGTCAGCAAGGTAGACATGAGCAAGCGTTGAGTGTTTTCGAAGCATATCTCACTTCTTCTACTAGCTCCCTCCTGAGCCACGACAACTTGATCGAGAAATCGACTCTGATCCAGATGGCCGAAAGTGCCGCCGCCCTCGGTAACGAAGAACGCTCACGAGAAATCCTAGAAACTGTACTGACGTCGACAGAACCTCAAGCAAGTACACTTCAAGAACTGGCTAGATATTATCAAAGACGCGGCGACTTACCTATGGCAATTGCATATTATCGCGCGGTGATTGAAGACCGAAAACTACCCCCAAACTCAATTGTAATTGTGACTGCATACTCTATGATCGGCTCGGCATTCATCGAACTCAAGAACAACAATCTAGCATTATGGAACTATCGTCAAGCTCGTGATCTTTTACTGGAGCATCATCCGCCAACACATCGATTGTTGCCAGAATTAGAAAATTCAATTCGTCTATCGGAGCTTAAACTGCAAATGGAGTCTCTTATAGCAATGCTTGATCAAACGAAGTAGCTGCAGACACATACACTGAATATAATATCATCCAAGATGAGAAACTGTTTTTGTACCAAAACAATTACTTACGGTAGTAGAAAACGCAGTAGTCATTAGTCATATGCGCAATATCGGGAAAATGACATTTCGTACCACCTTTTCATTCTAAACACCGAATAGTTAGAGTGTTCGGAACTGACTTCATGTCGGAAAACAGGATGTTCAGAAAGGGTGGTACCAAACGTCATTCACCAACAATCTTGCGGGTGTGGGTGTAGTTGACTGTGGGTGTAGATGACTGTAAGTGTGGGTGTGTCTACTTCAAACATACGTGCAACACATCCACTCTCAAGACTGTTACGTCAGCAGCAAACGGTCGATTCATTGCTTCGACATTTACCTGTTTGAAAGGCACGTACAATGATAACAACTCATTGATTGATTGATTCCAGTCTTGTATTCTTTGAAATATTGGTACAATATGTGCTTTATTCTTGTAAATGATTGAACCTATATAATATAAACTGAGTTTATCTTACTGGAAATGGTCTAATTAAATGTAACGATCTACTAGAGACAAATGACTATTGTAACGAATACAAAGAATATCTGAGTATATATATGGTTACGATACTGATAAAATATCAAATGATCATACCAGATGTGAGATATCTTATTTGAAAAATGAGAAGTGGGATTTTTCGTTATTTATAAAAGACTCCTCTCGCTATCTATCTCGAGCGTGGATGTGGGTGTGATTTCGGATCTAGGTGATTGTGTGGGTGTATCAAATCTATCATACCCACACCCTTAAGATGGTTAAAAATATATAAGAATGTAAAAGAGCGACATGAAACTACTTCGTCGTTTGCGATTCATTTTATTCAGTAGAAGTACAGAGAAAAGAAAAATATTGAATTCTCTTGCAAACGTTTATTTGACGACTAAAGCGTAGCAATAATATATTTTATAACACATCAACAACCGTCTTTCGTTCTTTATTTGCTTGAAATGAGTAATATTCGTGTGTTTTTATTTTTCGCCGTGCTGTCTATTTTATGCGGAGATATGTAGATAAGGAAGAAAAATCATGAGTTGTTAAAAGTATATAATAGAACACAAGAACAAAAAAAAAATATCTTATTATTTCAGAATATTTTACCGAGCAAAAGAACACGAAAATATATGGCTTTCTCTGCTTCACCGTCGAAGGAATCAGACATTGTGAAGACAGTGGAAGACGAGAAATTGGTACAAATTTATACACCTGATGAAATGGTTGTGCAATTAGCGGACAATAGACGATCGATCAGAAATCTTAAACCTAGGCTACATGCAGGTGCTATTGGCATTCACTCATATTCGTGTGGTATTCATCGTATTCGTGCAAGAATCAAAGACGGGCATCCTTTTTTCGGAATTCGATCACGAAGTATTCCACTCGTACCAAGGGAGTATATGGCTGGTTCCTATACTCTTACAGACTCTACGTATGGTTGGGAAAGCAATGGTCATTATGCTGATGGATACCCTTCGGTAATAACTCCGTGGAATGACGGTGATATAATCGGTCATATATGGACAATCACATTGAATTGTGATGAACACCGGATAAGTATAATTGATGAAGATACCAAGGACCAACACGAAATAGAAGTTGATGTTTGTAAGGCACCTCCTCCTTGGTGCCTCTTTGTTGCCCTTCCGCGATCGCTAGGTGCAATATCACTAATATAAACAACACGGTAAAGCATTCTGATATTTTGAGAGTGTGGATGTAGTTGTACCTCTTTTAAATATACCTGCAACACATCCACACCCACACCCAACCTCATTCTTCCAAGATTATAATTTAGTAATTGACAAATACATGTGTTTTATTCTATTTCTTTAATATGTAATCGATATTGTCTGCAGTGCGATAGGATTTCAAAAATATTTATGACTGAAAGAGAATGTATCAACATATTGTTTTAATAATTCATGGTGTTCGTAAATTAAACTAGGTTTTTGTTCTTTAAAAATGATTTACGGACATCTACCGACAATGTATCAGTGGTTGTTCATATGACGTCAGTGGTGTGCAAGAATTAAATAACAATATTTTTCACAAGAAATTGATTAATTCTGAAGAAAAAAGATCTATGGGCGCCTAACAAGTTGACGTATAATACTGCAATATTATTAGGTTTTCTAAAGAAATTTATGTCGCACCAACAATTTCTGGGTAGTATAGATTTGGGTATCACTACTTCTTTATTATCAAATTATGATACATCAACAACAGTTGAAGATGGTATTGACTGATTGAATATAATTAAACATCAAGATGATCTTATATTAATTGAAGTGGGCGCTTTACTTACTTCAGATGAATGTGACGAATGATCAATTAGCTGAAATACTTTAGCAACGTTTAAATTCTCACAATAGATTAATTAAAGTCGTTCCAAATACAAAACCATTGGGCTTCAATGCTCAAGGTAATTGGGAAATGAGTAGTGTTAATATAGTGATGAGATTGAATAAGTACAATGAAGGTGAATACTTTGCACCTCATAAAGATGCTCAATAAGCACCATATGGTGATGAATGATCATTATCTATTCGATATTGTTATCCACGATTACCCGAAATCAAATTAATGACAATAAACGTCAACCAACAATAGATTTAAATTCTAGTGTTGATAGAACATATATGATAAATCGACATCAATCACAATTTATTGGACAAGATCTTTTATCATGTTTTCATCTTGATTTACAAACTGCTGACTCACAACGATCGTATGGAAATGCTAAAAAAAAGTATGAAGATTGCATTCATCATTACCGTAAATATTTGTTAAACCAAACAGAGAAAAAGTTTGATACTAATCTGCTTTGAATATTATCAGCAAAAGATCATGTAATGCATGGATATTGTAATTGTTCCATGTGTTCTTATGATATACGCACAGTTCATAATTTGATTAACATTTACAATCATCTTATATTTGGTTTTGAAACACATCATTTAACTGTTGAACGTTTGCCGGATGAAGTGTCCAATGTAAATTACAATTCTCTTTTATATGGCTCTGTTAAAAGATTACAACAATCAATTCCACAAGAAAATCCTATTTCATTTTATCGTGTCAATATTGAGAAATTAGCCGTAGAAACAAAAGGATTTAATCATGCATTATGTCAATGTCAATATCCATCAGTGAAAGTTGATCAATTTTCATTTGTTGATTATACACATTTATCACATGTACATTTGAGGGGTGTGGGTACAAATAACGTATTCACCTAGCACCCGCACCCACCCACTTACAAAAAGTGTCTCAAGGACTTCCTCTTTTTTTGTTTTGTTTTTTGCTCTTCTACTTATCTTCCATTTACTTTTTCAAAAAAAAAGGTGCTGGTGTAAAACGTTATCTACTCTTTATTAAAATCATAAAAGTCCAATTCATGACTCAGCTATTGTTGGCAAAAAGGGATGAATAAAAATAATGTCTTATCTATCTGTTAAGAGAATAAGTCATTAACTAATGTACTGTCAAATGCTTTTCTTGTATTATTTAATCTCAACATAAAAAGTCATTTTACAGTTATTTAGAGTTTGCATCATTACTAGACTTTCTTTGTCAAAACATGAGTCAGTTGGTAAGAAAATTGTCAGAACCACAGTTAGACGATTGATAACATAACATCTTTCTTCATTCTAATGTTATCTTTTTAGTGGATTCGCCGAAAACGAGTTTGTTTTCTTATTCCTTTGGTTTTTGATAATAACACCATCGTATATATATAGCAGTTGCTTGTTTTAATATTATTTCAATGAATATTGAAATGCATCAACAAGAAACTCCAACATCAACTTCGACTAATGAAGTAACACTTCCAAATAACGATCAATTAGTCAACGAATCTATAACACAGCAGCAACAAGATGTAGCAATCAATGTTGATGATCGTTTTGGTCCAAGTTGTGCGCCAGTTTTATCACAAGCTCAGATTGTCAATAATATAATAAAAGCATGTATGAAAGTAGATCGCCAACGATGGGCGTTTCTTTTCATACCCTGCATTCCGTTTTTTATTATTATGTTCGTAACATGGATCATATGGGTTACTGTGGATCGTTCATCGGTATCTGAGATGGAATCATTATGGTTTACACTTATTACAGCTATCATATTCACTTCATTGACCGGGTTTATGTTACTTTGGGCCTTATGTTATGGTGCAATCAATTATTCGAATAGAAATAACTATGCTATGCTCCAAAGCAATGTTCGTCTTTTGATTAAACTTGAAGGAGATCAATGGGTACGTTATGTAGAATATTTGTATGGATCAAACAGAGCAGGTTTCGGGTATTTCGGAGCCATTGGAGCTATGACATTCTGTTTGTGCCGCAAGCCTCATTATAAAGAACTAATCGCGCGAGGATATGGATACATTGTCTTATGTGAACAAGGTTTTATACTTGATGAAATGACTTTCGTCGTACGTAATCAGACACACATTATTTTGTCAGTAACTTATGTCACAAATATGGGATTACGTGTGTATCTTTTGAAAAAAAATGCAAAATATGTCGTACGTAAATACGCTTCTGAAGCAGAACGGCAATATGTAGCTAAAGTAGCACTTAAGGCACAGATGGTACCGCTGGACATTCTTTTACCCAATATACCTCAAAATGTGGTCGCAGTTTTAGGACTTCAAATTCAGTATGGGCTGTAAACTTTTAATTACTAAATTTTTTTCACTTTTTTGTGTGGTGTGTGATACAGAATGTGGGTGAAGAGATGAGTATAACACTCATACCCACACTCTTAAGTATTATTTTTTTAAATAAACAAAACGAAACGCTGCTTTCTCTTCTTAAAATGAATTCTTTTATTAATGCAAAAAAGAGCGTATGTCCGAGAAACATCGGAAAAGTAATTTAGTCTGATGATGATGAAAAGATGTCTCTGGTTTAGCCGATCATAATTATTGAGCGACATATGTTGTAGCTGGATTTACGTAGGCCATTTGAATCGGTTGTAACTGTGATCGACTTCGTTGAGGAGTGCAAGCTTGTCTAATAAACAGCATACTAACAATTGTTAAACCTGTGCCTATCAGTGCACAAAGTAATGAAACCAGCACTAATCTTTTCTGGGTAGTGGTACAATATGTGCTCAACGATTCAGTACATTGGGTACTCCAGCTTTTAACAATGAGGCTGTATATAACTGCTTTGTATATTACATGCATCAATTGGAAGAAAAGTAAAATAAATACACCGATTAGAACGTAAACTCGATGGCGGCATAAAATGACCAGAGTAACACCAAGGGCAAATAAGTAAATTCCAAAAATTTTAAAGTCATAAAAAGTGAAAGTAATATCCCTAGAAAGCAAAAATAAATACTGTTAGAAAAAGAAAAATATATTTTCATAGATTTGATTACACTTTCTCTCCTCCTGAAAGAATTGCAGTCTCAACTCCGATTGATACTAATCCAAGAATGATGTAGCATATTCCTACACTCTGTAATTGGCTCGATGATATTGGATGAATGGTGGTGAATAGAAACATCCATGGCTGTTGATCTCCAGAAGTATCAGCGAGACTGTATGATGGTGGAAACGTAACCGTGGATGGATTGCCTTGAGCCATTTTACAATTTCTTTTTATGCGTGAGTTAAATTCTATAAATTCGTCCTTCAAGATACTGAGCAGTAGTCAAATGGCTTTACTTCGTGTCTTCACTCTGCTTTATGAAGATAAAAGACATGCTGAAATATCAACAGCAAAACGAAGAACGAACATTCTTATCTACTGCAAAGTAAATGAAACAAAACGAAGAGAATAAACAATTGAAGTAACTTTCATCTTTGCACCGTCAATGGAATAAAAGAGTAGAAAAGGGCTTTTTTCAGATCGGCAAAAACAGAGAGAAGCCCGATAACCTGAAGTATCTTCCAACAGCGATATTCAACTTAGTTGTAAATCTATCGAATATTTTCTTAAATCATCCATTTATTTAGATAATTGGTTAAATGCATTTGTTGCGATTGAACGCGGGTATTCGGTTTTTATTGGTGTTAGTTTTAATAAAAATAAGAGTAAATATTTAGCTAAACGAATAA